TTTCTAATACACCAAAATTTAATGTCGTACATCTAAGGTGTTGCTCTATAGTTTAGATTACTAAAGAAAAGTTCTTTATCGTTAATATTTAAATGAATATGAAGTTGTGTCGTATTTTTCAAAAACAAATTATCTATAATTTAGTATTAACAACCCTAGATTTCTTCTGTAATGATTTCATATTTCATTTCTTTTTTAAGACTAATCGGCATTGTTATCGCAAAGCCATTCTAGATTTAAAACTTTTTCAAGAGCTGAATGTGCATTGTTTGTTATACAGCAGGTGCCTGATTTTGTGCCCTTAAACAGTGTCTGTTCGCCCCAATCACTTGTCTGTTAATGTTTGATTTAATGTTTATCACATAGGAATCCCTGAGGAATTTACCGTTGAATTTCAAGAGCTTCGTGTTAGGGACGCGTCACATGTGAATTTCTCACGAATCTTACCAAAATAACTGCACAACCATCACAAATTATATATCAGACAACAACACAATAGTTATCTCTGATTCCATTTGAGTTTTTAGAGTCAACATATATCAAATGCATGATGCACTTTGCTACAATTTGTACGAGTAACGAATTCGTTTTGTCGTGACACTAACAGCATTGAATACTCACTATTACTAACAGATAGTCTCTAAAACCTCTGTAAAAACTCTGTAACGTTTTTTAATTTAATTTGATGTAAATAATGTTATTTCATTATTCCAAAATGAAGTAAATTTAAGAAAATTTTATAAATATGTGGTGATTGAGATGATTCGATTCGGCGTGATGTGTCACAACCGAGAGCTCCACTCTATATAGGAGATGCCCATGTCTGTCAACGACTGCTAATGGAGTGATAAGAATAAGTCTTAGGGATATGCCTCTTCAGACTTAGGAATTAGGAGAGGTGTCCGCACAGGGTTGTTCTGTAGATTTCAGACTAGCAACTAAACGTGTGTTGCATTTTTTTATAGGATATGGGTGACAAACGAGCACACACTCCACTTGATGGTAAGTGGTTGCTGTGACCCATAGACATCTACATCTATCCTCGATTACGAATCAAAATGCAGATGCGTTGTCACCCATGAGGACTAAGATGGAGTGCTTCGTTTCCAGTAAAAAGGGTCTCCGGTTCTCTACATTCACCATACTAAACACATTAAGCTGCTATTTTACGCTGGTATTCTGTGAGAGCGTGGTCCTTCCTCGGTCGAGCCGACCCATTCGTGCTGCAATTATTCCAATAATATAGCTGCAGCACCACGTGAAAAAATGCATGTCTCTCTGATAAATACATTTTGTATATAATATTAGAATGGAAGGGAGTTATGCTCTATTTTAACCGATTTCAAAACGGAGGAGGTTCTCAATTCGAGTGTATGTTTTTTTGTATGTATGTTACGCGATATCTTCGCAGATTGTGAACCAATTTTGATGATTATTTTTTTATTAAATAATTTATACTTCAAGGGTGGTCCCATATAAATTTGGAGAAAAAATTCGACCTCTAAGGGTAGCAAATAAATAACTTTTTTTTTTAACAATTTCAAGACGGTTTAGACTTTTTGTTAAAAGTTATAATTATTTTTAAATATCCTTGCTATTTGACGGCCGAGGTTCTGGCAACCAACTTAAAGTGGAAAATGCATTTAAAACGCTTTTACCTAAAATTTCATAGACTGGAATGAATAGTACGAGGGTACGCCCCCGCTTACGAACTCCCTATCCATTGTGGTGGATAAATCTCAAAGTAATGGCTATCAGCTGGCGCCTTAATGGAAAGGTGTATGTCCAGCAGTTTACTTACTGTTATATTGATGCTGTTGTAACATTGAAAATGCTGTAGAGGCTATCTATATTTTTTTATAGAATAAGGCTGACAAACGAACACTTAGTTCACCCGATGGTAAGTAGATATTGTGGCTTATAGACATCTACATGTATCCCCGGTTAGTAATCAAAATGCCGATACGATACCCCTGAGGACTTAAGATGGAATGCCTCATTTTCTCATACTCATCATACGAAATAGCAGCGTTAAGTTGCTATTCTGGTATTCTGTGAGAGCGTGGTCCTACTCTGCAAGAGCCGATTCATTCGTGCTACAACCACAATATAGCCGTAGCATGGTTCTACTACGTAAAACAAGTATATGTTATCATCATTAGAATCTATCAAGTCTACTTGCTGAACATAGGCCTCCCTCCTAGATTACTTCATTGAAGTGAGAGGGATATTTGTCATAGTTACATCGCTTAGCATTGACATTGAATGTAATATTTTGAATGTATTACGTGAAATTTGGGTCACTTTTAATATTATTTCTTACTTATGAGTTCAGATTAAGTACTCCCATCACGTTTATTTATTTATTTTATGGTGTACACGTACTTAATTTATAAGCTTTAAGGTCTTTATAGTCGGACGAGCAATAAGCTTGCATAATAATAAAGAATACGACTGTTTAACTCGCGGTTCGTTATTCCTGATACGCAAGCAATCATTCTTTAGATTTTGTTGAAGCAATGTGCCAAATATCATCCAACACTGGCGAGTCGCAAGCTTGGCTTAAAAACCGCGTGTATGCGATGATCCATCGCTTTATCGGCAAGCTACCAAAACCGCGGTGAAACTTACCCGTTGATCAGGGTCTTTACAATGTTTATCCTCCTACACTTATAACTCGTAAATGTATAGACCATTCCAATCAAACAGTGGAATACAGTTGTAACTTGTCAGACACACACAGAGTGGAGAGCTTTCCTAACAGTGTCTCATTTGCCTGAGGCAGTCGCCTATTTAGTTTTCATATTGTTCGCAATGTATTTGGAATACTACGTCGCCAAATACGAGTAAAATATACTATAGAGATATATTTGTCTTAAACAAATATTTACAAATTGTAATAAATTATCAATAAATGTGACCTCTTTACATTTAAGATGAGGACCATTTGCATTGCTCTCTATTTGCTCGTAACGTTTCAACACATTTGGTTTTACCTATCTGAAGATTAGCCCGGACAGAGAGATATTTAAAAAAAATGGTAATTTATGTCTTAATAGCATGCAATAACCCCCTAACTATACCCCCGTTGTAAGAAGGCCGTTATATCAATATTATACATTGACATTTGACACTTCAATTTTATTTATAACTTGCTGTTCACTGCGCCTTCGCTCGCGTGTTAGGGTTTTTATGTTTTTGCGCGGAATCCTATTTTTTTTTTCTAAAATATATCTAGCCTATGTTACTCCTTAAGAAATCAGCTATCTGCCAGTGAAAGTCCCGTCAAAATAGGTCCAGCCGTTTCGAAGATTAACCGGAACAAACAGACAGACAAATATTTTAAAAATTGTATTTTAGTTATAAGTACCGTATTTACTTTCATGTGCAGTTAGTAAAAAAAAAAACCGTAATTTTGACATTACAAACACACTCTTCAATTTTATTTATTTGTATAGATGTTATAGTAATTGGTATTCCAATGGTAACATAAGTTACTCATTACCGATTTGTATCATAATTTCATCATTGTTAGCCTATTAGACAGAGGATAATATTTATCATAGTTTGTTGACTTGGCTTAGTTGAGTTGGCAATCACAGATTTTTTATTATTATTTTGATAATATCACCTTCGATTTGCTGACGATATGGTCCTTATGGCAGAATCGCTGGAGGACCTAAGCACTATACTCAATGACGTCAATAGTGTCCCCCACCGGATAGATCTTAAGATGAACATGGACAAAACAAAAATCATGTTTAACGTAGTTGTTGGGAGCACTAAGCTCGAAGTTGTTGACGAATATGTTTATCTGCGACAAACAGTCCGACTAGGTAAGTCCAACTTCGACCGAGAGGTCAATCGACGGATTCTACTCGGCTGGGTAGCGTTCGGGAGATTACGACACATCTTCTCGTCAGACATACCTTAAAACGTAAAAACTAGATTGTACAAGCAGTGTGTTTCCAGTGGTGACCTATGGATCTGAGTCGTGTTCCTTCACTGCTGGCCGCATGAGGAAGCTCAAAGTTGCTAAGCGAGCTATGGAGAGGGCTATGCTCGGCGTTTCTCTTCGTGATAGACTTAAAAATGAGGATATCCGCAGGAGAACCAGAGTAACCGACGTTGCCCAAAGAATAAGTATGCTGAAGTAGCAATGGGCCGGCCATATAGCTCGAAGAACCGATAACCGATCGGGAAGATAGGTTCTCGAGTGGCAGCCTTGTTCCGGCAGGCGGAGTGTAGGACGTCCCTCCACTAGATGGAGTGATGACCTGGTAAGACATACAGGAAGTCAATGGATGCAGGTGGCTCGGGACCGTGCATTGTGGCATAACTTGGGGGAGCCCTATGTTTAGCAGTGGACTTGTGAAGGACAGAACAACGTCTGCCTGGACACCTAGTATAATATAAGATGGTTTGGTTTCATTTGTAACGATGTAATTGCCGTTCAGAAAATATCGTAAAATATTTTTATAAAGTTCCTATAAACTAATTATTAAAATTTATATTATTAAACTAGCTGGTACCCGGCGCATAGCTGCCGCAGAAGAAATAATTTTAGAAATATCGTTTTAAATTTGGAACAGTTATATTGTTTACTTGGGAACGATAAAATATTAATTGAAATTGAATGATATAAACTTCAAATAAATTTGTCGGTATGATACGCTCGCCACCTGCTGTAAGCTAATTGTACTATGCCTGTAACCTTCGCAAATGGATGAACGGGATGGCTGCGTGTAAAATACGAACAAACAAAGATTAATTTTTATATATTGGAATAAAATATTGCCATGATAGTCAAGAAAGGTTTTAAATTTCTTAGTACTTCGAGAAACTTGACATCGATCACCGCTAACACGACGAATGCATTATAAGGCTAGGCAAGAAAAGTGTAACATTTTTCTGTCACAATCTCGACCCGTATTTTTTTTTCATTATCTCGTTTTATATAATGTGCCTGCAACGAATTAATTTGCAACCTTTTTCAACAGGTTATCTACTAACAAAAGTAGAGGGCAAAGTTGGCTCCCCTGAGACACCCCTATCAGATCTAGGCCTAATATCATATCGGTCGTATTGGAAAGAAGCATTATTAAAAAGGCTGTGCACGGCCACTGGACCTACGCTTTGCATCAGAGATCTCAGCAAGGACTTGGCGATCGCGTCGTCAGACATCGTGTCTACACTGCAGGAGCGAGGGCTGATGAAATATTGGAAGGGAAAACATATAGTTTTGAAAAAACAGGTCAGTTATTATTATATACTTATTGGTTTTTATTTTTTCTGCAAGTAAAGTATATTTGAATTTCTAGAATATACCGAATGTCATAAAAGTTTTAGAAATATGTATGAGAATCGGTTCTAAATGTCATACTTGAAAATAACTTCAAAAATTAACGTTAAATGACAATAGTTTTAACAGTATTAACTTTTTCGCAAAGATTTTCATTGTTAAATTTTATCTGTTAAACATCTGTTTATTAAGAAGTGATCCACTGATTTTTAGAACAAATATTCCAATGTTATTTAAACTGTCTCACATAGCTTCTCTTTTGATTATAGCTTTTCATTATTCACTTTTTGTGATTACTTATCTTTTTTATTGTGTTTGTTTTTTCTGTATTTGTAACCTATAATCTATATATCTTTGAGCTACGCTCTTAAATTAAGATGATGGTGATGATGAATATGTTGTGACCTCTGTCGGATTAATGATTTCGAAAATTGTCGAAACAAAGTTAATCATATATTGGTATTATGATTTTTGCGAGAATTATTTCTAAATTCTTCTTCTTTATCAGTTCTAAAGTCCGCTGCTGGGCATGAGCCCGTTGCAGCTCTCCAGATTCTAGAGTGGCCTATGTCCAACACTAACAGTTTGCTATAATATCCATGTAACGGTGATACCACCATTGTCACCGTAGGATTTGTGTTAGTAAAACTGTGAAAGCCGGAGACCGCTTCCCATTTGAATGGTGTGAGAAAAAAATAATACACAATCATAAGTTTACCCATCATTATTCTATTTTTCGCAAACTTTTTGAGAGATAGTTGAAAGTCTTAGAGTTGGAGTCACTCGGACGGTAAGTAGTCTGCTGTCAATTCCTTAATATCATGATCTGTCATTTTGTCTTACAAATTAGATCGGAGTTATTGAAAGACAGTATTTATATGAAACAACAGTAAAAGTAGTAGCCGTAGATTGGATACTAATGTGGTGGGGGGAGCTAGATGGAATCCTAGATGTGAAGGTAAGTATGTAAAGTTTTTACTTGGCGGTAGGGCCTCTTCCTTATCATCAAGTAAAGACTTGGCGACCGCTGCCGTTGAAGATGTACGCCGTCGTGTCTACAGACTTTGCTTGTGAAGCATCTGAGGGCTTTCATACAGGAGGTGCTGGAGGAGGTGACTCGTCGAGCGGAACGCGCTCGGTGCGTGGACGCGGCGTGCCTTCGCTGGTGGGCGGGCGCTACGCCACGCTGACGTCGCGCCCCGGCGCGGGGGGCGCGCGCACGGGGTCCTGGAGGCGTTCTATCAGCTCGTGCAAGGGGGTCGCCCGACGAGCTGGGGGGTGTCGGGGGTCGTCAGGGTGAGCTGGGGGGTCCACAAGGGCGACGCGGGCGCGCGGCGCGCCTGCGCCGGCCGCGCCGGCCCGCCAGCAGCGCGGCGCGCGCGTTGCTCTAGCACAGCTCGCCGTCCGCGCCCCCCTCGCCGCGCTCCGCGCCCCCCTCCTGGCAGTACCCGGTGGCGCGTCGCGGCCGCCTCTGCGCCGCGTTACAGCTCCCGCGATCCCCCGCCCACGTGCACGAGTACGACACTGCTTGAGCGGTACGCAAACACAAGTACGTACGTCCTTGGATCGATATCAATATTATCCTCAACAAATACGGACTCACATAAAAGCTTATGCTGTGCAACTTTGTACGTATGTTTGTAGTACAGTTTATGTTGTACGTGATCGAAGTATTTAATTATAGCAAATTGTATGTTATCCGATATAATGTTATATAAGTTCGAAAAGAGAAAAGAGACCCGACGTAGCGAAAATAGAACTAACATTAAAAATTTGAAATAACTATCTAATACCTACTGAGTAAAAACTAATAGTTATTTTATTTTATGGGATCTTATCGACCTTTGGTTTTTAAAACTACATAAATATTTCAGCACATTTAAATTCTATATCGGTTCTCTTTTTACACAAACGTAAAAATCAAATTTTTCGAATAAAATGAATTACCTGTTAATTTAATTTTGTAAATATTTTATATAACTTTTGTACCTAGCAAAATTTACAATCATTCTAAAATGTGAAAATCGTATATTTATAACAAATTCATACCCATGTTTTTTATTCATTTGGGACTGTAAATAAATATGTACATAGTGAATTTTAACATGTTGATCCGCAATTTTATTACTTTTGATGACAAATCTGTTGCAAAATATTTGTAAAATAACATCCTTGTTTTTTTTAAAATTATATAGTTTTTATAACACTGTAAATTACAAAAAATGTAAATAAAGATAAAATTCGCGTTTTATACGAACAATATGAAATTAAATGTATTTGTTATATAGTTTTTCGTAAACTGTACGTAATATAAATGAGATAAAAAGGTTCAATCAATAAGGATTAACAAAATGCAATAATATAAAATAAGACTAAATGTACTTAAATTTAGATAAATCAATTTAAACACCAAATCCATTTATTGTATGTAAAAATTTGATGTTAGAAAATGACACCTTAGGCTAATTTTCTCAATCAGATATTGCTCGATTTTGTTGACGTCATAAAAATACTAAATACCAATATAAATCACACTTTTTCTACTGTTTTTAGGTCTAATTTTACGAGGAATGCAATCAAGCTTAAAAATCAGAACTTGGTTTCTTTTCCAGGTTATCAATATGCGCTTTAAATCTATCGTAATTCCCAGGGATTCGGTCGAATCCACAAGTCCTACAGTTTGTGCATCAAACTATATGGTTATATTAAAGAGAGCTAATTTAAAGCACTTAGTTGTTGCTATAAATTTTAGCCAGAAAACGAAGAATAAACTTTTCTTTAAAATAAAATGATAAACGAGATGATTCTGTGGCCCATAGACATATACATCTATCTTGATTAATAATCAAAATGCAGATGTATTGTCACTCATGAGGTCTAAAATACCTCGTTTCCAGAAAACCGTGTCTCCGGTTCACACTCACCATACGAAACACTACAGCATTAAGCTGCTATTTTACGCTGATATTCGGTCTACAACTATAACATAGCTGCAGCACGGTTGTATCTAGAATTAAAATTAGCGATTGCAAAATCAAAATTTTCCTAATAATTTAATATATCCGTGATGTCTAATCAGCAAAAATGAATATCATGATTTTGCAATACGTGCAGCAAATCGTTGACAGTAAGAATAAAGACGGACCGAAGATCGAACCCTGAGCAACGCCCATTAGCTGACAGAATGAGGGCATAACTAACACAATTAGTATCCCGTTACCTTTACAGCTTGTAAAAGTCCACTGCTGAACATAGGACTCTATTGCCTCATAGGGGGACATTTGCCATAGTTGCCACGCTTGGCAACCGCAGTTTTTAATTTTAGTCGTTATTAGGAAGACGCAGCTGCCCGTCTCCTGATCTGTTTCCATCTGTCGCTTCTTACGACACCCACGGGTAGATATGCAGTAGTGGTTATTCTTACACCGTCATTACAACGCTATTAGTGTCCCATTTATTCTAATTACCTGTTAATTATTTGTAAAGCGGTTTGGATGGAATAATTTCATCAATATTTGAGTTTTTTTTTCAACTAACCAAAACATTGTTTTGCGTCTTTTTGTAGATTTTAGTATAGCTTTAACTTTTTTTCTATAATATAACTATGAACTCAACTAGTAAACCAAGAAATGAGCATAATAATGTAATAATATCATGTGTCATCTGTTTCAGTATTGCCCTCTTAATTTTAAATTGTCCAATGCGTTGATTGATTCGTCGCTGCGTTTTTATGAATATGACATTGAAATCTGATTTGTATTATTAATTAAAAAATCTCATACGTGTTTGGACTCAAAGAATTTACAAGTCAAATTTAGTAGTAAATTGTGAGTGGCAGAGATTGTTAATTAGACATTCCGATTAATATTACTGAATGCAAAATATCTGTATTACTATGCTATGGTTACGACTCCTGAACACTCTGAAGCAATAGAATAGCTAACAAAATAGGCTATCATAGCAACGACCTTTTGGCCTTGTGGTAACTAGTAACTGATTACGCCGCGGGTCCATGCTTCGAATTTAAATCCCAACTACAATAAAAACACTGCGTAGCTGAGGTTTGATTTCAAAACTCAGTAGCTAGTTATTCTAGATAATAAACCGAAAAATATGTATCGTCAAACACGTATTTGTCGTATAAACGACAATTGTGCCATGGTAGCTCGCGAATAAGCGCTCGCTCTTAAATAAGATAGTAGGGGAACAAACCGAATTCAATCCTCGTCGGCAACACTAAAATTGTTAATTGAAATTTTATATGCTGCTTTACCAAATGCCTGGTTCCATCTATTCATCTATTACAACGTATAAAAGTCCACTGTTTAATATAGCTTGTGGTTTAGCCACTTTTAAAGAAAGTTTACTGCCGTTTTTAAGGAAATAATCCTGACAAACCGGCTTGACAGAGACAAAAAGACATTTCGAGGGCAGTGAAGTCTGCCAATACGCATTGAAGTTGCGTGGCTGTCTTTTTCTTGTAATAATATTTCTTTAAGAATGAGAGGAGATTCGGCCCGGCAGTGGATCGCATACACATGTACAGGTTGTTGTATATTAATAATGGCCCTTTATTCAGACATTTGTTACAAAAATATTAATTTCCTCCTTAATCACCTCCGCGCGGGTAATTTCTGGATCTCGACAAAACCGTCACCTACCGGGTCCAATTGCGAATCTAAACCATTCTCGAACTAACATAATTACACACACGTAATTTCATCAAAATCGGTCCAGCCGTTCCGGAGGAGTTCAGTCACATACATACGGACAGAAGAATTTTATATATAAAGATAATTTTACATTACACTCTTGTTTGAAATTGCCCCCCACCATTCTGCCTGTTCGTCTTTCATTGGTAAATGCCTCCTGTATTGAGGGCTAATATCTTCCGCGGCGGCATAAAACGAACTGTTATTTTTTTAAATTTATATTCTTGTGACCCTTATTGGATTTTGATGGACTCAGGGCTTATGACCATATTTTTTTTATAGGATAGGATGACAAACGATCACACAGTCCACCTGATGGTAAGTGGTTGCTGAGGCCCATAGACATCTACATCTATCCTCGTTTGCGAATCAAAATGCAGATGCGTTGTCACCCCCTTTGCTTGGTGCCCCTTTGCCCCTTTTCCACTAAAAAGGATCTCCGGTTCTCTACACTCACCATACGAAACACCGCACCGTTAAGCTGCCATTTTACGCTGGTAAAATTTATTGCATGTGTAGCAGAGGGACCTTTAGAAAATCTTTAATTTTTGTTATGGAACTTCTGTCTTGTAGCAAGAGCTGTAGAATCACTTTCAGTTTGTTTAACGTCTTGTAATATTTTTGATTTCACTGAGTCAAAGGAAAGCTTCATACTTGAACTCTCAATGGCTATTGTCATTGGATTGTAACTTTGTGATAGGCCGGATAGCAAAAGTGTGCCTAAAGCCACGCATCTTTCACATTATTAAGTGGCGAAGCTTGCGAAGTCACTTATTGATTTCACGATGTTTGTCCGTCTGTCAGTCTGTCCCACGATTATCTCGAGAACGGTTTCGAATTTTCAAATTCTGTTTTCAGCAATCGATTACTGATCACCCAGGCATCTGAACCTCCTATTTTGAAACTGATTGCTCAACGGCAACCGTTAGAAACTGCTACAAAGCTGATTGCTTCGCCACTTTGCTATGCTGTTAGCTTGCTAGGTTTATTCTCTTATTATATCCTCAACTTATAGACTGTTGTCATTATTTTACTGACATACTCCACTACATTTAGGAATCCAGCTATTCTAGTATCGCATAAGGCTCACAGCAGACAAACTTCGCGTGTAGTTGGTCGCGCGAGATAAATATCACCAAACTTCTTTCGCAGTACGTGATTCTTGAATATGAATATAGTTAACAGGATCGACAATAAGTGCAAGTATTATCTTCGATCTGGCTTTAGTGTCACGCTTTGTGTCAATTGCACTTGAATTTACACATTTCATGCAATCTCATAACTCCTCGTGCTATAGTTATCACAGCCGGTTAATTTCTCATTTAATGCCAGTTGATTACTGGATGGCGTCTTGAATTCGAAGAAAAACTCAAATTTTGTTCTGAAAACTGAGCATGTTGCCTTTGTAGGTGAGGTCTTTTACAAAACTGTTTTTCACACTGATTTTGTTTATTTGCACTGATTTTATTTATAGCGCT